GGTGAAGAAAACAAAATCCACAGCCCGTGTTACAGCCGCTGGGTAAAGAAAACAAAATCCACAGCCCGTGTTACAGCCGCTGGGTAAAGAAAACAAAATCCACAGCCCGTGTTACAGCCGCTTGGTAAAGAAAACAAAATCCACAGCCCGTGTTACAGCCGCTTGGTAAAGAAAACAAAATCCACAGCCCGTGTTACAGCCGTTTGGTAAAGAAAACAAAATCCACAGCCCGTGTTACAGCCACTTGGTAAGGAAAACAAAATCCACAGCCCATGAAGCGTTACGTACAAAATGTGTTACAGTCACTGTGTGTTGGTATTGAACGAAGCGAACAAGGGTTAGAAAAGGCTGTTCCGAACAACATAAACACTCTATTAGGATTAGATGAAGCCAATATTTCATGATTATCTCTGAACTACTTGACAGGATTCTAAAGATTTCGCGCACACCGTATGATTTTGAGGTATATAAGTAATCATGTTTATATATTAAGTTTCTCAGGGTCTGTGGCCTCTAAAAATGCATACAATTATAAGATCGATCATGCCAAACTTAATCTATTTGTTAGCTGGTCTAGATTTGTGTGTTTTTTTCAGGAAAACCGAAACTTAAATCATGGTAGACATTTTTTTCTTTCCAAAAATGAGACAAAACGAAGATGTTGTCGATAACGTAAAAAGCAAAATATTTTAATACCAAAAGTGGTTGTTATTCTAAATATGTCTATTTATAAGTCATGTGAGATTTGAATTGAATATTTAAACTTTCAATGCAACGCCTCCCATTATATCTTCTGGAAATACCTTTTTGTAACTATTAAATAGTTTACTAAAGTAGAAGTTTCAAGAAAAAAGCAGTCAGTTGCCATGGTAATCGTGAAGCAGTGATGACCCAGAGATGACGTTATAATAAATCTGGGGTAAGCATGTAAAATTCATTAAAGATTAATTGTACATCTGCATTACTATTACAAACATAATACTTTCTTGGATAATATCTAATTAAAAATGAACCTAAAAATAAAGAAGATCCGGTTTATCATCTACAAACTTAGGTCTTTGCTAGAACTTCCGGAAGAGACGTTGACTTGTAGAATATTAGAGCCCGGATGATTTAAGTAAGATTCCAACCCTTGATTTTAAGTTGCCCACACAATGTACCCATATAAGATCACCAGCAACCAATCAGAATCTGCTAATCAATAGTTCAAAAAAGGTTGTACTGATAGACGTAAAGTAAGTTTCTGGCGATATCAGCAACTGAACGACTGATATTTACTCAGATATAATACTGTCAGTTGTTTCTAGACGTTGTAAAACGTGTTTGGGGTTTATTTGTTTTTTTGTTGTTATTGTTGGGTTTTTTTTGGGGGGACATATGGTTGTATAGAAAAGAAAAAAGAAGCATCGTACACCTCTCCGATACCTCATGCAATGCAATTTATAGATCTTAGACTACCTCACTGATGGGAATAAGCTTTTAGCCGAACGAGTCGATCGATGCAACTATAGTTCTAGTTAGCAAACTCAGCAGTTTTTGCACGCACACACAAAGAAAATGTCATTTGTATAACATTCCATGTCAGATGATATCACCGTGACTTCAAACGGTTTGTCTCCTGGCCGCTCAAAGAGAATCTTGGAGACTATGACGCCAAAATTCAAGGTTTAATTCCTGCGGTGGGCACAACAATATAACCCATTTTGCAGCTTTGTTTTTCACAACAAACATTCAAGCGGTTTATTGTTCAATTTAACAATTAACACACCGTGTTAATGTTTTCTGTGTTTGAAGCCCCAGTAGCTCAGTAGTAAGACTGAAGACTTATAATACTAGAAACCTAGTTTCGATGTCCTTAATTACAAACAAACAAACTTCTGTGTTTGTTTCAGCTATTTGCGCTCTGTCTACCTTGGGGAACCAACACTCGGATTTTATCGTTTAAGTCCGTAAAATTACCGTTGACCCACTGTGTAAAACTACTGAATATTCGCTATACCTGACAAACGCTTAAGAGAATACAAAAACATTATCAGTCGAAAACACTATGTTTTAAAACTGACAAATATCCACTATACTTGGGCCAAATGTGGCCCAATAGTAAAGCATGTCGGACTGTGAATCTGAGAATTTACTCCCCTTGTCCCAAAATCACGCTATTCGATTAGAATAGCCTAAGAATTGACAATAGTTGTTCTTAACTAGCTGCCTTCTTTCTAGTCTATCAATTCAAAATTAGAGACGTCTAGCGAAGCTGGCCCTTCTGTAGCTTTGCGCGAATACCCGACGCATACAAGTCATTATACATAAATAACGCTTAAAAGAATAAAAAAATTATTGTCAAGTGAAAACACAGTTTTATAAAATTGACGAACATCAACTCACTCTTTCAAAACTAATTGTTATAAAGAAGCAAAAACTCACGTTAACTTGTACCGACGTTCTTACGACTCAAAGATCAAAGAGTCTTGAGATTATTCGAATAAATAAATCGTGACAGTTGTATAAGGGTTGTCAGCCAATTTTCAAAGCCTCCAATGTAAGCAGTTTCTGAGCGTTTGATTTACACACAGAAAACTGTTGTATATACCTACTTTCAGTGAAATTTAATAAAACTTTTCACGACAAAAGCAGCTTCATATATCTGATGAAATCCTTAAGGAATGTGGCGTGTAAGATTTCAAACACCAAAGAAGAAGGTAAAATTAGTCTTCTTACTTCAAAACCAATCTCGATTCACTTTGCACTAGACATTTTCAATGAAATATCGGAAAATAGTCCCCGTATAGTCCCCGTATAGTTATATAATACATTTCAAAACACATGAATGTATATAGTGTTGTTATAAGTTCGACCAACATAACCTTTCGTTTAGGCCCCCCCCGGTTCACTTATTCTTTGCCTTATCGTTTCAGAAACCTGGAAGTTCTTATCTTATCTTGAGGCAAATGTATAGCTAGTTAAAGCAAGGTCTAAACACGTGCTGGCAAATAGAATACTTTTCTCTTTCTCGAGTCGCAGAAAATACGGGAAGCGTCATTTCAGTGAGAAATCACAGATTACATGCACGCTTTGAAAATTAGTTAACATTACACAGTGTTTACCGTCGTTTTAACTTTAGACTTTAGTCAAAAAAAGGATAAACATCGTTGAATTTATCCGTAAGGAATATTTTTGTTTAGATTTACAACAGAATATAGTTTAAAGAGTTGACCAGGACACGAGAAAAACAAACGAACAAGAAATAATGATGTATAACGAAAGATGGACAGATTGCACATTCATACAGGACTCGGGAACTCTTCAGCACTTCCAAACATCTGGTGATGACAACTTTGCAAACAACGCAGGTTTTTGGTTTGTAATTCTTACCATTATCAAAATTTCTCTTGTATAGGAATGCTATGAAAAAGGTGAATCAAAGGATTTCATCTTGTGTTTGCAATTGATTTTTTCTCCTTTCTAGCGTATGATATAAGTGACATCCCCGCTTAAGGTGAATCCAACTTACACACTTTAACGTTTCGTTCAACTATATGAGAGGAACATATAGGTGTATAATTTTGTTTCCTTAAAATTTCCAGTAGTGGTACTTAACAGATTTTCTTAGATTGTTATGTATGATACATGATATTTAGTGGTACTTAACAGATTTTCTTAGATTGTTATGTATGATACATGATATTTAGTGGTACTTAACAGATTTTCTTAGATTGTTATGTGTGAGGCATGATAGTTTAAACTTATCCTTGATGCCATGATTTTAGTGAAGGAGCTAATAAAGAACTTAAATATACGCGCCATCCAATTTCTTGCAGGAAACAGTTTAGACAGGTGCCAAAAATTACAATAAAATTCCTTGAAAATTACCTTGCATCAATAATAAAACATAACTATTTATATTTCAGAAGCAAGAAACAAATATTTTAAGAACAGTTCAAACTCATCAATAATATAGTACAAATATTTATACTACAGTAGCAAAAATCAGTTGGCTATTAAGTTTGGACTACAGCAAAATTATATCCAAATTAGGATAACTATAGATACTGATATATATATATATATATACGGAAGATACTGTATATCTGTTTGTATTTCACACATACATAGCTTGTATCTCCGTACAGATCTAGAGTGTTTATTATTAATTATGGACTTAGTAGTAATACTAAAATTCTAATATGTCCTTTTGT